TAAAGCTTTGTCATATAATCTACTTCTCATACTAATCTATATCTGAATAAGAGTTATTTCGCTTGTATAATTTACAATCATATCTAAATCCAAGACAGTCAGACAGTAACCATTAGGAAACATGAAATGTATTAAAAGACAAAATCAGTCAAAAACATATTAATAAAAACCATAAGTGTTAAAAAAAAATTATTAAAATAGAAATATAACAGCACATTAAAGTTAAGAGAAGTTTCAGGACTAATTGTTAAACCAAGTTCTGATTTATAAATAAATATACTAAACTTTCAGATACTTCGTCATTTATAGATATTCATTGTGATAACAAAATAATTATGCTTGCCTGACAAATCGCTCAATCAGTGCAGCTGATGTAGATTACCGAGAACACTCAGTGGACTATATTTTGTAAACAATATAAATCGACATTTTACTAATATGATGAAAACCTCGCTTGTATTGTATCAGAAATGATAAATATTCAGCTCAGAAATAACAGATTTTTTCCATAGATTCGATGGCTTTAAGATGAGGCAATAAGCGTTTAGTAGAGCAGATTTTAATCCTCAAAATATTAAATTTTCTTAATTATTAATCAAATATCAAAATAGATCAGATGAATACCATTTATGTTACGTTAAATGTTGTTAGGAAGAATTAGTGTTTATAATCTTTTTTTAAAGAAGTGTACTATATATTCAAGAAATCTTTCATCAACATTCCATATTGAAATCCTTCCAGTCAATATTTAAAAATTTAGTGAAACAATAATCCGTCCGTGTTTGTAAAGGATTGATCTGAATTAGCTTAGATTCTTCTGAAGATTATGAAGAATTTTATTGATGTATGATAGTGGTCTAGATAAACATCATCATCATTTATGGATATCATCGATTACTTTGAAAGAACTCGAAATATGAAAATAGACGGTTTTTATAAGCCACTAAAGTGACTTCATCAGTACATGAAAGAAAAAAAAATTTATCAATGCATTCTTATTTCCTGTTTAATCAGACGATGTCACTGTGGTTCCGAAAAGTTTACTAGAGGTTGCCAAAATTACAGACGAGATATGTTGTATTAATATATCAAGTAAATTATAGAAAATAATTACTTTTTTCGTATTTAAGTACAAGTAAAATAATTTTATTTGCAATGCTTGTACTTCTCCTAGCTCTGATGTCCTTGACAAGATCTAGCATTATTCTTTTCTCTTTTTTTTGTTCCTCATTAAATCTATCCTTGAGTTTTGAGTTGAAGCATAGGTGAAAAGAAGCAAAACATTCACACTCCATAAAAGTATCGATAAAGATGATGATGATTTTTCTTATCCTTCTATTTGAGGAAATTTTTATCTTTTCCACTTGTTATAGAAAAACTCAAGCAAGAATTTGAACCACTGACTCTTCATCTAATCGATTTGTATTGACAGACAATTGAAGAGAAAGGCTTAGAGAATTTTACAAGATTAAATCAACATCATATTTTATTTCTTAAAAAACCGACATATATTGATCTTCAGATGATTAATTTTTCTAAAAGCCCGCTGAACCTAAATCGAAAATGTTTCTCTGATTTCTCGAGAATACAACGCAAATTAACTGGTTTTTCTATCATTTAGATTACTTTTGGTATTTGAGAATGTGGTTGAATGATTTCTCCTCAGCCTGATAGCTTGATAAGAAATCAAAAAAAGAATCTAAATCAATTCATAATTCACCAACAAGGCTATTTATCAGCAAAGTTACTTAACTTCGATAAGTCAGATAAGCCTTGCCGTGGCAGAACCCTCCTTACTATTTTTTCTGATACAATTACTTCTTTTCATAATAATATGTTTTGCGTAGCAATTAGCATTAAAATACAGAAGCATCTGTTGCGTATTCTGCATCTATATCTTTCAAAAACATTTTTTTCTTTCTTTTTCGTGTGTTTTTGTAAGAAAGGGTGTGTGTGTGGCTATGGGTGTGGATGTGGATGATGAGAAGAAGTAAACCCGCACCCACACCACACCCTTTAGCTACAATATAGTCGTAAGCAGTGATATGCAAATTGTTAATACTTTTTATTAATTCTGTGTAGAAAAAATGCAAGAGTTTCTAACAATAGCAAATGAATACCTACTTCCATGTTCTGCTGTGTATGTTGCACAATTGTTGATGCTAGGTAAAGTGTCGGGGCAATGAATCTATTCCCAAGGGTCAGAAGATGGGCTACATTTTGAGCTGTTGCCCGTTCTGGATGATAGCTACATAGAATATATATGTATCAACCTTTTCTATGACAATTCCATAATCAAAAAACGAAAATAATGCAAACCTGATCTCCATGTATTCTTTGACGACTTGCACATTATTCGTCTCTTGATCTGTCATTTTCACAGTTAATAGCAAAAAAAGCAACAAAAATTTTAGGCAAAGATAATAATCACACCTTAGCATCTTTGTTTTATCATATATTAAATGTCTTTGTTTAATACTATATGGGTTGGAAAAGAACTACAGTACGATCATCATGTAGATTGTCGTTGATTTATTGACAAAATAGTTTCCAAAATCGGTTCAATAGCTAATCAACTTCTAAGTGTCATTTGTCCTTGTTGCCAATTTTAGTAACATCTTATGATAAAATTTCGAGTAGAATGATATTTCAAAAAATGAATACAATCAAGATGAGTTCGAAATTTGAATGCAAGTAGTTTTTCATTTTGAAGAAAAAGAAAACACAATAACTGCCGTCATAAAATTAAAGCTCAAAATTAGCTCATACACTTGAATGGAAGGTTTAGTCAAATTTCATTTAATTGAATTAACGAAATTTTTCAAGCAAAAACTAGATTTCTTTGTTTCTTTTTTTTAAATATAGTTTCACTTAGGTCTGATAGTCATCTTGTTTGTTATAGAAAGACAAAGAGGTGTGTATGTTGAGAAAAAGAATAGAACGAAGAAAAGATACAAATAAATATTTGGTCACCTGTACGTTCGAACGGCGGAGAAGTGCGAACGGTTAAAACAAGTAGCTAATGAAAAGAAATACGAAGAAGAGACAAAATATGCATTATCATTATTATGATAGTAGAGCTTATTCGTATACATATATATATAATTACTTTGCACTGTAACTTCTTTCTTTTTTATTGAAACACTTGTACCAACGTTTTAAAGAACAATTTTTTGTCTAGAGCAAATATGTTTACTCTATCACCTAATGAATTTATCAAAAATCCCGACATCTATCTGTTACCTGGTGTAACTCCTGAAACAATTGAAACTTGTTCTCATCTTCTTCAACAGAATCACGAGAATTATCATGTCTACTTCAATATTCAAAATGGGTTTCACAATCATACTGCACATCATCTTCTAGCTGCATTAGGTCTTGGTGCTTCATCTCACATCTTGACACATATCTATGAACAACAGAAAAAAATTCAACAGCCTATAGCTCCACTTCACAAGAAGCAAGATTTCGACGTAAACAAATGTTTAGGTGATGATAGTTACTATCATGATTATTTGGAATTCTTTACGAAAGAATTGGACAATGGAAAATATCAAGGAAAAATTGAAGATTTAATTGAAGATTATTTATTCAATAAAGATTATCTTGCTCTCATATTAGGTGGTGCTTATCATGCATTTATTCATCTTGGATATGCCTTAGAATTTCAATCGAAAGTAATGACCATTGAAGGTTTGGCAATGGCAGCAATAGATCGAGTTAGTGTTAAAGGTGTTTTAGAACATTTGAAATATGATCAGAGCAAAGATGGTGATAAAACCGCTTTGGAAATTATTGAATTGATTGCTAAAGATCAACGTTTTGACGAGAAGGTTCTTGCCACAGATGGTGGACTTGGACTGAAGATGAATAAATTATTGGAAAGAGGTGGTGGTTCATTGGTTGCAGAATATGCTCAAACGTGGAAATGCGATTTAGTGGATGCTAGACAAGCTGGTGTTTTAGTGAATGCAGCTGTTATACGACCAAAGAAAGCACCCCGTCTTGACTTCCTTCTGATGCATGCAACAACGAGTAGTCTATTCTTAGACATATTGGTTCATTCATTCAAAAAGAAAGAAAATCAATTAAAATTGATGAGAGCTAAATTTGCAGTGGATCTACTTTTCTATGTCGTATGTGGACGACCAAAATTAAATTTAAATTATTTATGCAATGAATATCAAGTGTCAAAAGAACATTCGTATGTACACGCACAAAATCCATGGCTACCTCTCATTGACAAATGTTTAACACATCCAGATGAGCATGTACCAAAGACAATAAGAGCATTGATCTATGCTGAAAAATTTGACAGTACACGAGATAAAGATAAATTGCCTTATTTGAAAATTGCACAAATGATAATGGATGCTTTATTTCCTGCTGATCAGAAAAATTGGGTTCGTGGAGTTCTTGGTTCGGATGAATATTGGAAGACGGTGGAAGATTTGTAAAGACATTCTTTCTTTTGGTATTATTCGAAATAGTTTTATTTAGTTTCGAAACGCTACACAAAATTTTCAAAAAAAGATACATTTTTGAAGAAAAAATAGAGCTGGTTAATGATCATAATCAATTGAGTTCTTCAGAATTTTAACTGCTTGTTCCAAATCCTTGTCATGAAGTATGGTCCTTCACGGTTGAAAAGCTGTTAGCGCAATCTCTTGCAGAATTAAAAATGTGAAACACGATCGATTTATTGTTACTAATTAAATGGAAATCGTTTTGTTCCATTTTTTGCGATACATTTGTAGCTAACCGTTTATCTGATGCTTTAGAAGTACAGTTTCTCTTTCACGGTCTGTAGGGGGAGGGGGAGGGGGTTGGGTGCAAAATTTCTACCCTATACACTTCAACACTTCTTTTAGTTCGTGTTTCACAAAATACGCTAAAAATCGGTTAAATTGTTATCGATATTGTTTTGATATTATGGAAACTAGTCGATTGTCGTTCCCAGGCACTTAAACTGTTAGCATTCCTTTTGTTTAAATAAAGTGCTATTTTTCTGTGATGATATTTGTGTCCTCGTTCATTGATGATCCATTTTTTAAAAGAGTAACATAATTAACTAGTAGAATACCTTTTCGAATACCGCAATGTGCATAATTAATCTCATCATTTACATGGATATCAATCCGTTGTTTTTCTTCAGAATTTCCACTGAGACGATCTTCATATGTTACTAAAAAATATGCTGCAGCGACAAATTTTTTTTCTGATAACTTTTTCGCCTTCAATTTTATTAAAATACTTTCACTGCGGATACCATTTTCATCACCTATTTGTAATGGAAATAATGTATTAATTTGAATTAATTCATCTTATTTAGTTTTATTCCAATCAGGTGAATCGTATACTTGTTCAACATTGAATAGATTAGATTCGAGTTTCATTTTAACATAGAATACTAATGGTGTTAAAATCAGATCAAAATCTTTGTCTATAACAGTTGAAGAAAATTTTTCGAATCATATGTACAGAAAAATCATTAGCTCCACGATTTTCGGTTATCAAAGATGTTAGTTGAGTATTTAAATCAATACCAACACCAGGGTTGCCAGCTCGAAAAATCAAAAATCGGAAAAAAATTGGAAAGTGCTTTTTTTCAATGCTTAAATGGCTGATTTGCTTTTCTAATAATACAATATCATTTATCCTGTTTACTTTATGTTTTTAAACAATATCTGAAAAGATATTTCATAATCAATTAAACAAAAAATAAATTTACATATACAGTTCAGTGTTGCTGTTTCTGTTTCTACTTTTTCAATATCACTTTCAGTTATATTTTACATCTTCCAACAAATCATTCATTCTCTAGTTTTATTATATCTGCAATATGACAGAATAAAAACGTCAAAAAGGAAAATATTCTCAATTATCAATGCACTAACAGAGAAAAATAGTTCATCGAGATAGAAAACTGGACCTCTTTTGTCTATACACCATGCTACTTATTTAGAGCGTACCAAAAGTCTTTACGGAGCTATATCAATTTCTTATAGAAGGCTTGAAGAAATTTTCTCTTTTTATGCAATGATAGAGAAAAAAGATGTTCTATTTTTCTATTCTATTTGATCAATCTTCAACTAATATCATCATAATAAAATTTCGATAAGAACTGTCTTTGTGTAAAACTTAACTAACGGGTGCGGCAGATTAAATGTTTCAATCACTTAATAGATTATATTAAAAAAACAAAATATACTGCAAGATGCAGCGTGAAAAGCTCTACAATTTACATAAAACCGCTTTATTTCATAGTTGAATTTTTTGTTTTCAAAATGGACAAAATTTTGAGCGATCAATTTTCGATCGTACGAAAATGGTATTTTTTGGTAGAAGATGACTTCATTTTTCTTATTTCATCCCTTTGTCACTTGATATCTTTTACTTAAGAAAAACAAAATACATCACAAGATGCAGCATGAAAAGCTCTACAATCTACAAAGTAAAGCTTATTTTAATTGTGTATTTCTCGTCAAAGAAACCAAAATTCTGTGCGACCAATTCTCACCGCCCCGAAAAGGGTGTGGGTATGGATGTGGAGCGTGGGATGTGGGTATGGATGTGGAGCGGGGATGTGGGTGTGGGATATAGGTGGGGTATTGGGTTTTTGAACGAAAGAACCACACCCACATCTACACCCCAATTCAAGGTTTCCGCTTTGAGGGAAGTCAGCCAGGTGTTCGCCCTGTTTTTGTTTTTCTCTTTTTTGTTCGTTTAAGGTTTTCTAGGATAGTATATGTCGATTCGGATGTGTTTCTTTTTATGTTTTTTGAATTGTTTTATATAATCAACATTTATTTTATTTCTTAATTAGTATGTAGTTAGAGACACGGGTAATGAATTGATCATAATATTAATTAGGTGAGTCATTTATGAATGGTGAATATCATACTGCTTTTAGTTCAATTTGGATTCGATTGAAGTTCGAATTTTTGGAGTTGATGATTTCCGTTATCGACGACATAGAGATTACCGTGTCGATCGAATGACAAACCAATGGGATAATTGAGTTGGTTTGATTCTCCTCCACTAGCGTTTCCATCAACAATGACACTTCCTTGTGTGGCTCCTTTAGGCCAACGCATGATTCGATTATTCCCTTCATCAGCCACATAGACAGTGCCCAATTGATCGACAACGACTCCTCGAGGATCTGACAATTGTGTAAGGTCATTTCCTTTTCCTTGACCACCAGCCACAACAATGCCTTGTTTTGCACCTTCTATCCATTTCATCACACGATGATTTGATCCATCAGATACGTACACTGAATGATCTCGATCGACGAATACTTGTGTGGGGTAAGAGAGTTGATCGAGACGATTTCCATATCCATTGCCACCTGCAATCACTGTTCCTTGAGATTCTCCTCTTCGATATCGTCTCACTTCATCTTTTCCAACATCAGTGACATAGAGAGATCCATTCTCGTCCATTGTCAAACCCAAACAATAGATGTTGGATATGATTGTTTCTCCACTTGTCCCATTTCGACGAGGCCATCGAACCACTCTTCCATTCGAAACATCGCATATGATGAGACTATCTCTCTCTTTGTCGATAATCACATCTGTTGGGTCTTCCAATCGATGATCTCCACTTCTTTGTCCATCTCCACCGACAACCACTTGGCCACTTGTTGCACCTCGTTTCCATTCCACAATACGATGATTCGATTGGTCGGCGACATAGACAGTTTGATCATCATCAACATACAAACCCAATGGGTCTGAGAGTTGATTGATTCCATTGCCTTGTCGATTTCCTCCAGCTACAGTGATACCATTTTGTTGCCATCGAGCATTCGGATGAATGTCAATTGAACTCCCACGTAATGGATGGACTGCAATCGAAAGAGAAAGGAGAGAGGATAAAATAAGAGAGAAAAAAGTGAAAAGTTCATTTGAATTTTTGCAAAGTCAACATCGTTGCAAATTTTGTCTTGTTTCAGATTTCTTCTTTTGACACTGAGGTGTTTTCTTTTTGGTTTTCTTTATTACTTAATTTATCATAGAATAATTATTGATATATGTTTTTTTTGTGTTTTTTTTCAACTATCTTTATATCTTATATTTGAATTAGTGGACTTCAAAAAAGATTTTAGTAGAGTTGAAGTGTAGGTCATCGTACGTAATTAATAAATCATTAATACAAATAAATAAAGTTCTTTTTGTTTTGCTTGGAAAGAGAAATAGATCACGATAGTCATTGTATTACAAATAATGAATTTTTTTGAGTTTTATAAAAGATGTAATTATGAGTATGCATATATATAGAAAACATTGGAATCCCACATCCTTTTATCGACTAATAGGCAGAGCGAGACAGAAAGTCATGAAATAATAGAAATAAACTAATAAAAACAGAAAAAAATCTTTATTATATTCATATTGAGTTTAATAGAACTTTTTCTTTATATATTATTAGATCTTATAGCAACTTCATGAGAGAACATTCAATTATTTACTATA